CCCCCCCCCCCTCCCATATCTCTCACTCTCTTTCTCTCTCTCCCATTTTTGGAGCGCGTTACGCCCATAGAATACGTAACGCGACGCGTGTGATATATGCACGTAATGCATCTGGAGCGTCCAGCACGCACCTCCCGCGCGCACACGCGCTCATGTGGCGTGTGTATGCGTGATGGGATATCGCGCACCACCGAAACCCTCCTCGCCACCCCTCGATCGTGGGTATTAGCATATCAATCCCCTCGTTATTCGGCCCTCTCGCGATCCCTGGGTCGCCGAGAACGCGCCATTAACCAACGAACGAAGGCTACCGCGCTCCCCGAGACAGGAAACTCTCCCGACCAGATCCAGAATATCACGGACAAAACTTTCCCAAAATGGCTGTTGGGATTTTGGTTGTTAACCCTTTCCAGAGGTGACTATCGCTCGCATCTTGACGCGATTCAGCGACTCGAGAGACGACTCTCGATCGCCGCTAGGTTCGAGGCAGTAAATCAACCAGCAATAATGCTTGCGTAGGTTACACTTTTTTGGGGATTCAAAGTGTCGATAAAATGATCGTCGGTGAGAGAAGGGGGATCTAATTCTCAAATTTAACATTAGTTTGCGATCACGGATCAAGCTATATCTTTGTAAGCTTAGCACTCGTGGCAATGGTATGCCAAGAAAGCATCTAACGTTGCTGGTAGATACCAGAAAAGAAGGCCTTCACCCTTTGCGCTCGAGGCTTTCTTAGCATTCTATTGTCGCGAATGCTAAGCTTAGATTCACTTCGAAAATGAGATCCTCAATTTGAGATTTGAGAATCGGGTCACCTTTCCCTCAACGACAATCATTTTATTGACACTTCGAGTTCCAAAGAAATGAAACCTAAAGAAAACCTAGCGGTGACTGAGAGTCACCTCTCTAGTGCAAAGGGTTAATAACGTAAAAATGAAACTGAAAATCGAGGCTTGCTTTGATTGCTTATTTACCAGGTGGGAGAGAATGCCAAGCTTCTAGTTGGAAGATGGAAGCTTTATCAATTTTCGAGTGAGGAAGGTAGGTTTACTGGTCGAGGTTCGATTACCAGAGAGTGAAACGTACCTGTGTTTCCGTCAGCGAGAGCGCCTGCGCCAGCTGCTTCCTTTCAGCGCCGACCACGTAGTGATTTTTCTCAAATGCGTGCTCGAGCTTCAGCAATTGGCTGGGACTGAAGGCTGTCCTTATTCTCTTCGGTTTCCTGAACGGCTGCAGGAGGAACCCTGGTATGTCTGGGCCTGCAACAAACGCGAGCAATGTTATTAAAAAAGACTCGATCTCAGCACAGAAATTAACATTTGGAACAAAGTCTGTTTAGAGTCCCTTCCTGTTACTAAAAACTTCTAGTTTTGGCACAAGCATTATCGTATATATATATATTAATGAAGCAGTTAACAGTAGTTCGAATTAGGCCGATCGCACACGGCGCAATCGATCAGTTTTAAATCACTCTGAAACTAGTTTTTTTTTTTTTTATTAATATTAAGACGAAAACTAAGAAATAAAATTTTGTTCAACTATAATATAGTTAGCCAAAGGCAGTGTAAAACTTACATGCTTACAGCGTTGTAATAATTGAATGTTCCATCTCCGGACTTTAGAATTACAGAAAAGTTTCTTACTCGGATTAAATAATCAACAGAATTAATTTGAAGCATAATACAGTCTAGTTGCAGTATACAGTATAGTTGCATGCGACCGTGGATCCAATTCTTCGATAGGTAAAACAAAGAGCGCAAACGGTTCGCAACACTAATTTCAAATCGGTTCCACCGTGTGCGATCGGTCTTAATTTTGATCGGGCAGCACGCGATCGAACAAGGAGTCGAAAGCGCGCGGAACTGAACAGGTGAACATCGATCGTCGAGTGCGTTCATCAAATTCCAGATCGGGTAATTTTTCCGGTCAGGACAGAGATGGGAGCAGATAACGCGATGCTCGCGGATAATTCATTACGGTTTAATTAATTTTTAAACGACGTCATCGTCGATCCTGTCCGCGCGTCGTCACGAGGGTGAATAACGACACGCAAGCCTGATTCGCTCGCGAGGCGGTCGGTATGCATAAACGAGGAAAAAACGAGCCGCACGAGGTGGTGGTTACCTAGAAGTCTGGCCGGGTTGGTAATTGAGTATTCTACCTCGAAAGAGTCATGTCGATCGACCGATACCTCCGTCTGCCGGAAGTCAGCCGGGATACTTTGCCCGGAAAGCTCGCCACGATAAATCGCTCGATCCACGGCCGCTGGATCGCTGGCTACCGAGCAACGCTGCGAATCCGAATTGAATTTGAAATTTCCCTGTCACGTTCCGCTGCTCGCTGTTATGCTCGCGTTGTATTTCGATAGGAGAAAAGAATATTAATTTAACGCAAACGGAGTTAATCGTGATATTTATGACGCGTTTCGCTTCTTCACCTGGCTACCTGTCCTTTTATTTTCATTTACCAACGATTGCAAGCTTATTCGAAACAATTTCGCGATAATATTAAAGCTTCGAGTAGTCTCTAATTCTCTTCGTAAATAAATTCGCCCCTATGAAACAACGTTTCGACGGTTAATTGACCACTCGTGATAGGTTTAACGTTAAACAAGATGCGTTTCCACGTGCGAGCATTCTTACGATTGCGACGGAGCGTAAGTCACATCCTTGATGGATCTGGCTGCCTTGGCTGCATCGTAAACTATGCCTCGATCACGATTAAACGTCGATCTCGCTTGTCACCTCGCCGAAGGATCGATCGTTCCCTCGATTTTATTTCCGTTTTCTATTCGAATTGACCGTCGATTACGCGCTTCGAATACCTTATGTTTCGAAGCTTTTACAGGAATGAGTAACGCTTGTTTACCTAACACCTTTTAATCGCGAGAATCGTGGGATTAAGTATTTCGCGATGAAATCGATATTTATGTAAGAATATCATTGAATTTAATACTAAATATCCTAAATTCCTGCAGAAAATTTCTCCTACGCGATTTCCTACGTGAAACGAAATGCTTCGTCCAGGTCCTGTTGTAGGTTTTAGACCAAAGACTCGGCTTCATTTATTTCGAAATTATTTCAGACTTAATTTCCAGGTAATTCCGTGCGAACCCTTTGAAACTAAAGATCCGAGTAATTAGTTGCGAGAAACGTCTGCCTCGGCTCGAATATTACCATATTTTATAAATTATCTAGCGCCGTCTCTGCTGGGTCGCTTCGAATCACCGCGAATTACGACGCAATAATGTATTATTAATTGTAGGTATTATTTGATACGATCTGCAGGATCATTAGCGTCGTTGTTGCGCGAAAACCAGTGGTTTTCTACGCCGACCGACGCGAATAGAAACAATGACTTGGCCGCCCGAACGCGCATCTGTCGCGCATGGCGACGCATACCGTCTGCGAACAATTGCAGCGATTCAATAATTAATTAGACGTCGAGACCGACACCTGATAGGAATCAACCGAGCCCGGAAAAAATGGCGGAAGGTTCGCAGAGGAGAGCTCGAATAAAACTCGCACAAAGAATTTATATTTCACGTTGAACGAATAAAAATTTGTCTCGATGGTTGTTCAGTGAAATCAATAAATGTGACGCGAGTGTGGCTATAGACGATATTACCAAACATCTCGCCATTTCAACGCTATTAGCATAATTATAAGAAAATTGCCGCTTTTGCGAGTTTCAACTTTCCTCGAAGACCGTTCTGATAAAATTTTAATACTTCCCGTGCGCGACAGGCGGTAATTTCGCTCTACTGTGTAGAGTACAGTTCTCAGCCAGGAAACGTTTTGTTGGCGTAACATAATGTCACGAGCGAGCTAGTTTAGTTTGGTAAAGTTCAGAAATAAATACACGAGAGTAAATTTTATCATCGAGTAAATTCAATTGGCGAAAATTCTTTTCTTAACGATGCAAAGAAAATGAATTCCCAAGTTAGTGGAGTATCGCAGAAGATACTCGTAAATATCGGAAAGAACCTGACACTATTCGCAATTATTAAAGCACGAATGATAGTGATATCTCATGAAAGACAAGTGTACCAACAACGTCCAACCCCTTTCGAGTCAGCCTGCATTCAACACGAGTTTCTCGTCAAAGTTCCACGCGAAACCTGTAGATTTCTAGTCGTCGAGCCTTCCTATTCAGACTGACTACTCTTCGATTATTCGTTTCTTCTTCAACGCCCTCTTCATTCTAAATACCCGCTCCTTTCCTTTTCCCCGAGTCCGTTCGCGTCGCCGCCCCTTAATAATTTCCTTCCCCGTAGCTTTCCCTCTTCGCGGCGGCAGGACACCCAACTGCAATTTTATTTTTCCCTTAACCCTCCACTTAACCTCCCCGTTCTTTATTTACCACTATCATTTCCCTCCCATCGGGCATCCTCGCCCTCTCACGCGAAATCGCGTCGTTAGCGAATCTCTAGGCGCTTCCTAGACGTCGCTCACGGCCCTTCGGACTCGTCCTGGCTGCCAGGAGAGGAAGGACGAGCCCAGGAGAAGGGAGCTACGAGAGCTAGACGGCCTGTAATTACGCGAAGCCTGTGCTCGCTGCCAAGCCGCCCTGAGCGACTCGAAATTACTCAAAAATAAGACCAAATCGCGAACATATCAAATTATATCCCCGCCGATTCCCTCCGACTCACCTCCATTCGGCGTTTCTCCGCGTCAACGTGAAATCGCCGTCGTCAGGGTGCCGTCGACCCCGACGCTAATGCGTTTTTAATTGTTCGAAAACGCGTCTATAAACGGGCTGGACGCAACGTGACCAGAAATGCAAATTACCGAGCGATATACGCTCGAAAGCTTGGATTATTTTTCAATATGTAGATCAACGACGGCTCATTACCGTTAGGAGTCGTTAATGGCCCTTAACGACGAAACAAACTTATGGGGAATTTAATCGAATTAGTCGACCGCAACTGGTTTCCTCTGTTTACGATCGTCGATCGAACGAAAAGATTCGTAAGAACGTATCGAAACCTCGACGTTGACCAGTTCCTCAGATTGAATTTCACGTGCGGAATTATTCCAGATACCGTTTGCCCCGATGATTTTTTAACAATAAAACGAAACGCAAGGTAACCAAACCGCCTATTAGACGTCGATTATTTCGAGTATAATCGTATCGTCGTCGACCGTTAACGTTGCTCGTCCTCGAGGAAATATCGAACCACGGGCCCCCCCGAGTGAATTACGCAGTCGACTAAACAATTAAGAAGCGCCAATTACGGAATTAAGTATGCAAATCGAGCGTCGTATATTACCCAGCCGCCTTCGTAATTATGCAAATACGCGACAACAATCGACCACTGCCGGCCAAATACATGACAAGGGAACACAAAAAACCAGCGGCGTGTCGGTTAAGTTATCGCTAACGCGTTTTCACCGACTCGGACGGCAGTCTATTGAAACTTTCCAGATGCGTAACACGCGGCCGAACAATGCCACGGAATTACCATCTGAATCAGGATAGTTGCTACTCGCCACGATTCGCAGCGTGCGCCTCGAAGCCAGTGAAACACAGTTTCTCGGTGACGTCGCGGTTCAAAAGCATTGGGAAGCTCTACTCGGAGCTCCGAATAGTGTACCTCGAGTTAAGACAGAAGAGTTCGCCAAGATGAAGAAGGTGGACCAGGTGCGTTTCATTTTGAAAATTTCTACTGTGATTAAATTTCGGTTACAGGCTATTAGGAAGTTGCATAATCAAACATTTATTGTGATATTTATTCTTGTAAATTCATCGAAAGTCAAGTATTTCGTTTAAGTTCATTTTCTTTGACACTTGACTCAGAATTAATATTTTTGGTTCTTCGGTGTAATGGACTGTCGTCCATATATGAGCGATGTGGCGATCAACGTGTTAAATGGAAAATGAACGGATTTAGTTGGTAGTTTCAATTACTTTCAATGATATTAAACTATCTAAAAGTTGCTCCATAGGAACCTTCAAGCCTAGCGTAAGCAGAATTAGCATCTGATATTTTAGCGTAGGTGTTCCTTGTGCCTCGATTAAATAGAAAATTAATGAACTTTGTTAGTAATTTCAATCGTCGAGTGATATTCAGTGTCCAAGAGTTGCTCGTCTAGCTGCCACGGATACTCAACGACCCGTAGGAATCTTCGAGCCTTCTAACAGCGGAATTAGCATCCGAATAGAAACAGGTTGCGACAACGATTAATCACCGCGCGCGCAGGTGAATCTACCAATCGGAACCAGTGTCGGATTTGAAATTACGAAGACCCGAAGCTAA